GTGTTCACACTTGTGAATAACCTGGCAGTAGTGTCCATTGCTAAGTCCAATCCTCGATCATGAGTCCATCTCTATGTAGCATCTCTGCTCTGATGGCCTTAAGGCTCATGGGCCCACCAGGCTCAAAATAATTCACTGTCCCCTTCAGCAGTTTCTGCAGCTTGTTGCTGGGGACTCCATACAGCTGCCTTCCATCTCCAATGCTTCCAGAGCACTGGAGGGGCCCAGTGGACTAGATACTTGCCCATACTGTCCCACACACTCTGCCACTCATGACTGTCCAGCCTTGGGGAAAAACTCTTGGTCTCCCCATATCGTTGTCTAACCCCAGACAAGACCCAAACCCGACTCTGCTTAACTTTTGATATCAGACAAAATGGCGGTGGGTAAAACACACTCTTGTGTGTGTGCCAACATGCTGATCCCCATCACAGTCAGCAGGCAGGTCCCAAGGGTACCCAAAGGCCATCCAAAACCTTCAGAACTCTCAAGCGATGCTGCTGTACTTGTCACTGGGGCTGGTGTAGCTGCTGCGCTTGCCGGCTCTCCCACCACCAGCTTCTCTTTTTCTAAATCCATCTGTTCCTCCTCTGCCTTGCTGGGAAATGCTGCGGGGTCTCCTGCATCCTCCTGGGGCTCAGCTGTCGCAGGGCTGAGCTCGGCCACAGGGTTCGGCTCCTCCGTCGCCCTCTCCCACTGCTCGGCAGCCGCCTCCTTCCGCTCCTCGACCGCCCCGACCTCCTCCACCGGAAGTCGCTCCCTGCCGGCCTCCAGCCCCACTCCCACTTGGTCCCCAGGGGCACCCCGGGCCACTTCAGCAGCTGCCGGTTCCCGGGGTTGCTCCCTCTCGGCTCCCCACGGCCTCACGTAGACGGAGGCGAGCGCGAGGGCCAGGACGGTGAGGAGCAGCCGGACGGCCAGGGACCAGTCCACGGCCACGTCCGTCCCGCCCTGCTGCTGGAGCCCACCCGTATTACAAGTCATTGCCATAAAGTACAGTGAGACAGGAACCTTAGCCCAAGCCCCACACTTGATAAACACTAACACAGCAAATACCGGCTCTAAGTAAGTTACAACATTCTGAAGCTGTGAGATCAAGAGGAGCAACTCTGAGAGCCAATAAATCAGCGTTGTGACGAGTGACTATCAATCCAGTCAGATCTGTCATTATCTCAACCCCTTGTGCCCCACGTTGGGTGCCAAAAAGAACTCTCATGGTTTAACCCCAGCCAGACAGCTTGTTCACCCACTCCCCCCCCCCCTTCTTGCCCTCTCCTCCTCCTGGAGGGATGGAGAGGAGAATCAGAAAAAATGCAACTCCCACGGGTTGAGGTAAGAACAGTTTAGTAACTAAGGTATAACACAAATCACTACTGCTACCACCAATAATAATGATAAAGGAATAACAAGGGAAGAGAATATAACACCTCATCATCAGGTGACCGGTTACTTGCCCCCCCCAGCCCAACCAAGCACCAACCGATACCTCCTCCAACCCTGCAGTCCACACTTGCCCTTCCGGGTAACTCCCAGTTACATCCTGGGCATGACGTGCTGTGGTATGGAATACCTCTTTGGTCAGTTTGGGTCAGGTGTCTTGTCTCTGCTTCCTCCTGGCTTCCCTTCCTCCCTGGCAGAGCATGAGGCTCACGAAGTCCTTGTCCAAACCAAAACATCATTTTTATCAGCCTTGTTCCCAGCCCGAAAGTCAAAACACAGCACTGCACCAGCTACCAAGAAAGAGAAAAAATGACTGCTAGTGCTAAACCCAGGACAGTCACTTAAAGGCAACTTCAGCAACTCTGCTGGGGCTTGTTAACACTGTCAACAAAAAAAATAAAGGGAAAGAGGAGTCAGGAAGGAAAGGAGTATATCAGAAAACAAAGTGGCTTGTTCACAAGTAAAAATGGGAGTAATTCCTAACTTAGTACCTATATCCAAAGCAAAGTAATGGTTCCTGTAATTCTTACGTAAATTAAGGAAAACTTAAACCTGCAGAACTGAGCAGAACACTTTGGTAATACAAAGCCTACACCATCGGGGACAAGCCACTTCTTCCACACAGCTGTGCTGCCTGGGGCAAGTGCCACTTACCCTCAGGAGACAGGTCTGCATGGGGAGGACCTTGGGGTAGTGTCACACAGGACTCTGTGCAAACAGATTTGTATTGCAATTCATACCAGGTCTGAGGCTGGACATGCCACAACTTCTCAACATCAACAGAGGACCCTATTCCCATCTTTCATGAATTCCAATCCAATCAAATAATATAAATTTTTTTTTCTAAAACAGCCTCAAGTTCAGGTTTTTCAGTCTTCCATTGACAGCACCCTTTAACTGGCTTCAGTCTCTGCAGAGAGCACAGGAGATGCTGCCAGCTCAGCAATCAGCTGGGAACCTGACACTGAACTATTAGCCAAGCTCTTAGTCTGTGTTCGAAGGATAGTTTCAGGATGCAGCGGGGGGGGCAGGAAACTGGCTTTCCTTTTTCCATCACTCTGGGACTGTGGTTAGGTGCCTATCCCTGGGAATAGCAGGGAAAAGAACTCTGACAAAGACTGGGGGCTTAGGTCCTATTTACAGTGCATATGCTGGATCTTATTGATACCACTTACTTCAGTAGGCATAACATACACTCTCACACATACAGATCAATCCTTAAGGGTCCATTACTCTGCTGCTCCAAAAAGCACCTGAGCTCATAACATGAACATTTTTACAGCTCTCAGAAGAAATCTTTCTAAGTTCATCTACTTTTTGCAAGCCAACCTTGAAAGACTAAACCAGATGTTTAAAAAACAAAATAAATCATAAATGAACATGTAAAAACTCATGTCATAAGCTCAGGAACATAAAAATCAAAGTTTAATTATGAAAGAAACCTAGCCTAATTAATCTGATGTACAGATCAATGCAATCCAGTCCCCCTTTAATGACCGGTTGAAGCCAAGGTTATTGGAAGTATTATTTTTATGCCTTTCTACAAATTATTCCACAAACTATAAACAACATCTTCAAGCGCAAATGAACTATATACAAAGATGAGTATAAATTAATGAAAGCCATTTATGATTATACTGTGACAAGATAATTTTGTATCTTTTCACAGTTCTGCATTAAGTGGAGCATATTTTGTATCTATGATATCTGCAAATATCTATGATATTTGTAGCCAGTGTACACCCGCCTTTAAACCACCCAGGTCGTAAAACACAGAATTAAACGCACTTCCGTCACTTAAATACCAGCCATAAGGCCCTTTGAGTATTTACTGAACTCCCGACAAACCCTCGGTGTAACCATCCCAGCGCAACTCCTTCTCTCCCATGCAAGCCTACCTTGGCAACACTACTACAGCCAAGCAGCAACATCCCCAGCTGGCAATTAACACATTCCCTGAAGCAATACTTGCTTACACTAACCTTATCAGCGGAGAAGGCACAGATAACAACTGAACTGCAGAAGTTTAAGAGATGTGGGGCCTCAAGGAGCTTCCCCCCCACCCTCGCCGGCTCCTGCCGGGGTAGGAGGCACAGACTACCACAGTACAGCACACCCCACTTCGCACACCACCTCAAAACTAGACACCGGAAAAAATCCACCCTGGGAGCCTGTGCGGGTGTCGCAATGCAGACAGAGAAGCACATACTGCGTTCCTGCCCGCAGGAGCAGGGAATCACGTACTTCAATCATGGCGCCACCGCTTCCCTCACACTGCTGGGGTCGCGCTCCAGAACGTTCTATGTAGCCCCGCCCCTCCATCACCTGTACCCGCCGCGCTGGAAAGTACCATCAGCTCCACTGGGTGGGGGGAGATGGTAGCAGAAAGCTGGCGCTTCTGAAATGTTCTATCATTCACACTGAAATACTCCAGGCCGAGCCGGAGGGATTGAGCAGAGTGGTCGTTTAAAGTCATTTAACGCAGCTGCTTCGCTAGAAGCAGTGACACTGTCTTTCCCGCCCTTTGCAGCACAATGGTTGGTTTTGGCCGCCCGCCTCCCGTCACAGCGGAGCAGTGTGGGGGGTTATGGCGGGCGTTGCCTGTGGTGGGTGCTGTGTCAGAGCAGAGCTGGATCCCCTTAGAATGGGGAGGGTGTGTGCTTCCCAGCAGGACTCTGTTCTTCGTGCCAAAACCAGCAAAAATGACGACAATAACGCAGTGCCCTTTCATACAAACCATGCACTTAGGCATCGCAGTGATAAATCCTGGGGCTGCCCTACTTAGGGCAACTAAGATGATTAAGGGAGTGGAGCATCTCCCTTATGAGGAAAGACTGAGGGAGCTGGGTCTCTGTAGTTTGGAGAAGAGGAGACTGAGGGGTGACCTTATTAGTGTATATAAATATATAAAGGGGGAGTGTCACGAGGATGGAGCCAGGCTCTTCTCAGTGGCAAACAACGATAGGACAAGGGGCAATGGGTACAAACTGGAACACAAGAGGTTCCACTTAAACTTGAGAAGAAACTTCTTCTCAGTGAGGGTGACAGAACACTGGAACAGGCTGCCCAGGGAGGTTGTGGAGTCTCCTTCTCTGGAGACATTCAAAACGCACTTGGACACGTTCCTGTGTAACCTTATCTAGGTGTTCCTGCTCCGGCAGGGGGATTGGACTAGATGATCTTTTGAGGTCCCTTCCAATCTCTAACATACTGTGATACTGTGATACTTCCCTCCCAGTCAGTGCAAGCTGGGGTCAAGGGCAGCCCCAGCTGCTCCCACCTTGACAACTGCTCCAGCTCAGAACACAACAGGTACTTTAAACACAGCTTGTGTCCTACCCTTTGGTATTTAAACTTCTAGTTTCCTTTCTAGTTTGACAGTCTGTTAGCAGTGCTCCCAGACTCACAGAGACTGGAACAAAGCAAAGATCATGGTTTGGCCTGCGGTGCTGTCTGACGGTACAAGGCTGTTAGCTGTCCCCAGAAGTCACAGCTGCATAAGTATCTCCCATCTCTTGGTAGAATTTTGCCTTTGTGCTTCTGTTCTCAAGCTTACAGCTAAGAGCCTTTTCCTTCAGACCTCCCTCCTGCCTTTGCTGCTGAGAGGAATATACAGGGAATGACCTGTTGTTCCAAGAGGGGCAAAAATACTTTATCAGCCGTAAGACTGGTTGCTTTTCTTCTGGTCACCCTCTCCTATCTCACAACCCCTTTTTGTTCCTCAGGGGAAGGACGGAGCATTGCCTGCTCTCTCCAGAACTTAACCTACTTTGCTGGAAGAAAGAAGCAGGAGGGGTATCGAATCCCAGCAGCGATTTCCCACAGGCAGAGTGTGAAGACTGATGTGTTTCACCCTAACACAAATCCAGCTCCAACAGATTTATGATTAAACTCTAAAAATTGGCAATACCAGAAGGAATTAGTATTGTAGAAGATCTTCCAGTCAGAGGGGTTTTGGATTAGAAGGGCAGGGAGCCTCACCAAGAGACAGATTCATCCCGGTTGGACATTGCTTTCTGCCTCTGTGAACTGAGAGTAATTTTGAGCGGGCAGTACCTGAGACATGAAGTACATCTGGTTTACCCTGGTGTAACATGAGTCTGAGCTTTGAATTTTTATGAACACAGAGAAACAGCTGCAGAAGTTAAAACTCCCAATAATCCCCCTCGGTAAAGTATTTGGCCCAAAAAGGAGTATATAAACTCACAGGCTTTGTGCATCATTTCGCATACGTGCTATTCAGGTCTGCTGCTTCTCAGCACACACAGCACAACAGCCCATTCAGCCATGCATGTAGCATTAGATTTTAAAAAAGGGTAAAACTTGTGAGTGATCCAGACATTTACATCAACCCCACCTGATGCAGCAGGTGGCCTTTCAAAGCACCTGCAGTTTATTTGCCATTGAGATAACCTAGGAGGTCCAAAATGACAAATCAGGGTAGCATCATAGCGTGGAATCAATCTGAGAGAAAACCAGACCTTTTCTGCCATTAAAAAGTTCTTCACTGCCAGTCCTTACATTCCTGGTCACAGTCACGCTGTTCGTGGGCCAGCAGAGGTCGGGAGGAGACATCTTCCACAGCAAGAACAAGTAGGATAACTTTCCCCACAGCTGTGGGTAAACTGAGAGGATGATACAGGCTGTCAGAAGTATTCTCCTTCGTGTTATTAACTACTGCCAGTAAAGCAGTTGCCCCTTGGCTCAACAAAAAAGTACATTTTCTAAAAGGGAGCTTGGGCCTAGAAAAGCAGAAAATGTGTCTGACTTCATTTAGAAAGAAGAGACAGCAGAGAACTCAATTTGTAGCCTGCATCATGCTTTAAGATCCTGCATGATGAGAGCTGTTCTACTTTCAGGGTCCTATGCTGGCAATCCTTAATTACACTGAGCAACATTTCATTGCTTGAATAAAGCCATAGGGTTCTGCAGATCTGTTTGTGTGAAGTAGTATTCAGACAGCTGTAGTGTGGCTTTGGTGCTCATTGCTTCTCCTGTTTCTTCCTATAACATGAGAGCTCCTAAATGCTTTTCCAAAGAAGCCAGAGAGAACATTGCATGTATGCTCCTTTTTCGTATAAGTGAAATGCATCACTGCCCTTTACAGTCATTATCAAAAGCTGTATTTAAGCTCCGAGTATGGCACAGTCATTTTTACTGCATAACATGTTTTGGGCTAGTTTCACTTTTGTCTAAGTATCTTGGTTTGTTGTGGGTTCTCCTTCCAAGATACATACTGTGAAGTAGAGACTTTTACTGAATACTTGGTTCAAGAAATTGGGTTTTAGATATTAGGAAAAATCAAAAGAGTAGCTCCAGGGGGCAAATTTACCAGGTCAGAGCTCTGAAAAGTGTTACATAGGCTTTCTGACACAAAAACCAGTTTGGGACAGTTGGGAACAGGCTTCATTTGGGCAATAGAGTTTGACGTGGCTGTGACTGAGCATGATTGAAATCCACTTTAGAGCTCCTAGAACAAGAAGATAAGTCAGATCTACCACTTCAGAATTATTTCTTTCATATCTTTTATTAGCAATACTATGAAGCTCTGGTTAACAGTGTAGCAGCTGCAAAATATCGAGGTCACAGCTGCAATTTGGGGAAACAAGCAGAAGTTTAATTTGTGACCCAATCTGAAACTCTGAGATGTTCTTCCTTTGTCAGCATATTCCTGCCACCAGACAGGCTCTTAAAGCATGCAGTAAGGAGCTGTTTGCCAGTGCAGGGGTAGCTGTGCCACACGAGAATTCAGGATGAGAAATGAGACAAATTGCTTTCAACTCAGCACAGCAAGTTTCAGAAGGACTGTGAAGGGCTGTGAAGGTTTTTCAAGTCACCCAGAAGGAGCTGGGTATCACACTCCTACTGAAAGACCACAAGTATTTAAGCAATGAACTCCTCCTTTGCACTTTGGAGGAATAGAAAGGAACACTAAACAAATAGTGAACACCAGCCTGCTTTCAAAGTCATCGATGAGAGCTTCCAATCCTGGCCAGGCATTTGAAAACATTCAAAGCTGCAGACAAAAGCCTTTAAAGTCTCATCTGTGTAGTCAGAGAGAAAAAGCCGCTTGCTGTGCTCAAAGGGCATTCCTAATGGACACTTTTCCAGACGTGTGACGTGTTCCAGCTCTCTGTGAAGTTGTCGCTTGCAGCCGTGCTGAAATGTTTTCTGCAGTCATGAGAGCAGGCTGCAGGAACTTAATCCTTGTCATCACCTTGGTGACTCACCTTGCAGTTTCAATTGGACAAATTATCCTTCACATCTCCTCTTCAGAAAAACAAACGGCTGTGTGGAGTTGTTAGCGCAGAATGGCTGCCACGTTCCAGCCTGGGCAGATGGATTACAGCAGTGAGTCATCAAATTGAATGTACAGGCACGATAGCTGCCATTTACCAAGAAGCCTAAACTTTATTTATTTCTCTGGAGTTAAATATCTAAACCAATTGCATTCTGCTAAAACATCTCAACAGTGTACCTACTTACATGGGTACTGGTAGGTGTACACTGCAGGAGCTTCAAGTTTACAGGATACTGATTACTGAGCAAGAAGTAACTGCGACACAGTATGCAACAACACCAGCATGGTTGGGAACAGGGGATGAATCATTGTAGATACAAGATGTTGAACTGATCTCAGAGTAAACAGTGACAATGTTCAGGCCAAATGTGGGCAAATAAAAGTTTCATTCTTTTCATTTTAGCATCCTTAAAAACAGCTTCCTCAAGGGCTCTGACCCATGAAGCAATCTGGGACAGAGATGAGAACTTTTGTTGATGGTAGTTTTTGTTTATTGACAAACCAGAAACTCCAGGGGAAAAAGAGCCATTCCTTTGAACCATATCCACACAAGCTCTTATTGTTTTCAACTGAGATATCCCTATAAGTAAATAGATTTCTATGAATATTTATACAAATATCTCTGAGTATGTAACCTAAGTGGTGGTAAAGCTGAGATGCAAATTGTCTTCCATGATGAAGACCAGATTATGTCCTATTGTATTTTTAATGTCTTCTTTCATTCCTCTTCAACACCCTTGCCAGTTATTTATTCACTTACGGTCACTGAACAGCCTAATGAGCAAGGACCTGAACACATCACATCAAAAGATATTGATGTAATAACAAGAGAATATATGCAGAGGAGAAAAGAAACCAGCTGGCAAAATAAGTAAGGAAATTAACTCTTTCCATGTAAAATAACTGATTTTGGCATCAGAATTGAAAATCACAACATGTGAGAGACCAAGAGAAACCTCTGTAATACAGGTCCTGCTTTCAGCTACCTTACTCCCCTGTTGAACAGCCCCAGTTAGCTGCCTTCCTGTTGCTGAATCTGTTGAGATTTTGTTTATGAAAGTGTGATTCATCTTACCTAGCCCCTCCTGCACCAGTGATTTCAGATCTGCAATGCTATTTCAAATATTTCTTGTGCTGTGATAATAAACAATAAACCCAAACCTACAACGCTCAGAGTCAGTCAGGATGTTCTGACTGTGGATTTTCTTTGCCCAATACAGATGGCTCTAACACATCACATGAAGAGCATCACCTGCACATAGTGCTCCTTTGTTAAACAAGGTGACTGCGGGGAGACACTCTGAGGTAGAGACTTTGGTCCTTTAGCCATCAAGGTTTCAGAAGTTACTCCATCAGATGCACCAAGCACCCCTGGAAGTGTCTCGTTCACAAGTTGTCTCATTGCTAGAGACACCATTTGTCCATGTGAAACATGCAAATTATCTAATGGATATAAATCAAGTTACCATTGCAAAATCTGAACAGAACCCCCGCCCCCTGCAGCCCTGGTAACTAGGTGGGGGAACAGGTGTACAAGTTAGGAATATTTTTAGGTTTGTTTTGAAGCCAGTGAATAAGATCCCAAGCCCACGCAGACTCAGACTCCCTGTTTAATTTATAAATAAGGTGTTACTACAGCCACATTTGTGATTGTAACATACTTTGACCTTAAAATTCAATAAGATTTCAGTTTATGTAATCCCAAAAGACTCTGTGGGACATGCCAAGTCTTTCTCCCCCTTTCTCCCCTCTTTTTTTTTTCTGTCAGTGAAACTTAAGAATTTAATTCTAGTTCATCAGAGCAAGATCTACCCTTATACTCTGAAGTTGCGTGGTTACATTTCATCACAGATCTAAATCCTTGTAGCCCACAGACAGCTCCATCATCTCTCTATTTAGTTACAAATTATCGTCACTTAGACCAAAAATCTATCATGAATTGGATGAAGGCCATCTCATGGAACCATTTTGCTATTTTCTGTGCCCTCCCTTCAAGCAGCAAGGGTCTCCTCTTCATCTCTGCCAGAACCCTAAGTGAAACAAGATGTTTAAATTACTTTATCTAGCCCTGGTTCAGTGCTTTTACCAATGGAGCAGGCAACTAATTTGGTGTAGAAAAAAGGGCACAATCAGATTCGTCACTGACTTTGTGGACCTTTTCTGAGACTGATAATGCAAAATACCAAGTGGCTCTGGATCTGTCACTGCATCTAGGCAAGGTGGGCAGACATCTACTGAAAAACAAACAACAGCTCTTGTGACTGAGCAGGCTCTTATTCTCCTGTAGGCATTCACACCAGTGATAGAAAAGCAGTCTTCAAGATCCTTCACGCAACATCCTACCCAGGCTGCTGGACATACAATAGATATAAAGAAAGCAAAGAGAATTGGTCTGTTTTATCAATGTGATGGTGGAAGATGTTTTCCTTGTTTGTAGCTGTATGAATAATTGACGGTTTAATTAACTTTTCATTCTAGATAAAGAAGTGTGACTGAAAGATGATAAGAGCATGGTCATGGCGGGGGGTTGGACTAGGTGACCTTTGAAGGTCCCTTCCAACCTAAACTGTTCTATGATTCTGTGATTTTAAGAGCACTATAAGCCATCAAGCCTGAGACCTTCCTGCTGATATCAAACTTTTGCAGAGGGATGCTAAGGAAACTACTCACAGGAAGAAAACTAGATGCATCCTGTCATGCTCTGTCAATGGCACCATCTCGTTCCTTAACCTCCAGAAAGCAAGTCTACCCTCTGCACTGGGCACAGGCTGCTTGCAACAGCAGCTACTGGCAGGAAGCACAGAGGAACCTTGTCAGCAAATTAGGTGCTGATTACATTCAGATGAACCTTCTCCAGACCTTCACTGTGACCACATCAAGACCTAACAAGGTAGAATTCCATACTGCTTGTTTAACACCAAAGAGGTTTCATTTCCCATGTTACAGTTATACCTGCCCAAACATGTATTTGGAGATCTTAAAAAAAATGGAGGGGTGGGTGTGGAAAATTAACACTGAGATGAGACAAAAACAACCAAAAAGCCAAGGCAGATGTTAAGTTAGAGAAGAGTCTGGGCTAAGTTTATATGATTTGCTTACTTTTCCAGGTGATTACATCCCTCTAAGGCTGTCTTTCCAGATTTGCATCTGGAAGGGGCATCTTGAAAACAATACAAACAAAAGCAGAAACAAGAAAAATGACTGATGCTAAAATCTGGATGAAATTTTGAAGCTGAGGACTGAGAGAGAAAACGGAACAAAAGATTAGGTCTGTTGGTAGGAGAACACTAAGAAAAAGGTGGGACATGGGTGCATGAAGGACATGTGTGAGGAAGCAGGAGGGATTGGCTGTAGTTGAGTAGGACTTGAAAGTAGCAGGCACGAGGCAGGATCCTCAGCCTGTTTGCATTGGCATTGCTGCTTTGCCTCACCACAGCGGTACAATTTACACCAGCTGATGATCTGGCCCCATAGCTGCAAGTCTGAGGATAGACCATATTCATCCCACGGCTATAAACCTTCCCCACCCTAGGAAAACAGGCAGCGTAATCTGGTTCCTGGGCTTGCTGGAGCCAAGTGGAAAAGGTGCCAAACACCTGAAGATCCCATATGTGAGGCTCTTTATTTGGGTGGGGGAAGACAATAAAACAATTTTACTGCCAAATAAGTGTCCCTGATGCCTTCCTATAGAGAAACAATGACATCCAGTGGTGAGTTACATTAATCACGGGGGCTTTACATTAAGTCAATCCCAAGAAATCACAGCTCATACCTGTTCCAGGGAAGGGGTCTGTTGCTCTATCCATTACCCACAGGCAGTGCTATTCCAGCCCTTGGAGACTTTAGGACTGTCCTTGCTGCTTTCTTTTCTGTTAAGCCAAGTGCCTCTGCGTTTTTCTTTCAGCTGCAATTCTGAAGTCCAGCTTTAAGTGCTCAAAGTCTAACAGAGGCTTGATAGCTTCAAAGAGAAACATCTCCACGTGATACCAGTATTATCTTCCTGAGCAACTGAAGGCTTCTAAGCTGGCTAGGTGAAATAGAGTTTGCAGTGCCAGCAGAGCAACTTATTGCCTGGCACTGTCCTCCCCATGCCAGTGGGGACTGTCTATGCCCCTGGCCTGGGCACAGACTGACAAGCAGCTCCTGGCTAGAAGATAGAGGGAAAAGGTGATTAAGGGTACAGTATCTCAAAAAACCTTAAGATGATCTGATATTTGCACAGCATTTTCCTCCCCTTCTCCCCAACCCCAGAAGAGGTCGATGCCCATCTGGAGCACGATGAACAGTCACAGGCTGGAGACATCACAAAACTGCATGTTTATGCTGTTTTGTCCACATCCCCAGTGGAGGCAGACGACCTTTGATTTGCTGCTTTTATCCTGCTTCAGCTTGTCTCCCACTGCTACTTCAGGGACTAACACCTCAACCCCAGTCTATACAGTTTTATCTGTTTTCAGCTCATTTTTGGGTTTTTACTATATACTATTGTTTATGGTTTACATTTGAAATTTTAAAAATAATACATTTCATTGATCATACATCCCCTTTCTGTGATCTCAGTGCATGATGAGCTCTCTGAAGAGAACAGAAGGGGGACTTACTTAAATGAATTGAGAGGTGACACACTTAGCAGCAAGGTACTTTATCTTGGAGTAAACTGTCACACCATCACTACTCAGAGGGGTCTGGATGAAGAGCCACTCTCCAGAAGTGGATTTCTTTCCTAAGTTTGTCCAGAACCCAATCTTTCTAAGCTTTATTTCTTTTCTACTATGTAGGCCTCTTACATAGACTGATATATCTGCTATAACAAGGTACAAGAAGAGGTAGCAGTGGTACACGTGTTGTATTACTGGGAGGCCCAGTGGAAGATGTCTAGAATTATTTTGTATAAGCTCTTGGGATGAAAACACCTACCTGTAGGCTTGTCAGAATGAGCTAGTTACTGGGTTCCTAACAGGATTTTGTCATGTAGGTACTTTCAGAAATCCCATCAAGACCAAAGACTGCCCCAATTATTTCTATCGAAGCCACACAAAAAAACTTGTGCTGAATCAGATACTGAGGAAATGCTAAAGTGCACCATCAGGATTGAAGCCCTGTTGAGTAAACTGCTTTAAAAGCACACAATTGGGACTGATTCTCCCTCTAATTTATTTATAACCTTCACACTAAAGATGTACAGAAGAGACAGGGAGGCATATAGAGGAGAGAAAACTTTGCTTAGGGGCACACAGCAAAGCCTCAAATTCAACACCACTTTTTGTAATTGTGATGTTTATACCAATTGCTTGCCTACAGCCTTTGGAGATCAGGTCCATGCTAAAACTTTTGTCCTGTTTCCTTTTTACTAACTGATCCTCATATTAGGGAGCAATGTTAATTTGAGGAGTGGATTAGTTTTCCTGGTATCTTTCTTAAACACCTCACTCACATACTCTCTGACCCTTTCTTCTTCCAAGCTAAACAATTCTCACTTTTGCACTCTATCCTCAGATGTAAACCCCACCCAGCCTTCTAACCATCTCATGACATGCTTTTGGTGGACTTCCAAACCAAAGAGGTTTCCAAACTGAACCTCTAAAATGTTTGAGGTTTCCCCATCTCAGTACAGTACTTTCCAAGAGCACACTCCCATTGATTCTGGAGGCAGCCTTGAATCAAAACTAACCGTAATGCAATCAGGAACAAGTCTGGCTACTTTTTAATGAGGAAATGTGCTCTTGGGAAGTATCGTGCACTGAGGGACAAACCTCAAACACATTGGAGGTTCTGCTCGTAAACCTCTTTGATGTAGAAGTCTCACCCAATGGCAAAGAATTGATAATGGGGCATGCACAGAATCATGCCAGCCATGACATGAGAGAGCTATTATCATGGTGGGCAGGCAACACAGTCCCCAGTACACACCCATGCTGCTGACGGGAGCAGTCCTAAGTTTTAGAAAGAAAAGAACATTTCATTACCAATAATAAACAAAAAAAAAATAACCCAGAAGTATGCAATTCAAGCTAACAGTCACTCCTCCCCACCCCATAAACAGAAATTCCCGCTGCAGTTGCATTTAGTAGAGCCAGTTCTAACATTGCTCTCAAATCTGCAGCTGCAGAGCACCCCAGCCAAGCCAGGTTCACATGATAATGGAGCTTTAACTGCTCATTGTTCCACTAGACAGAGGAATCAAATTTGCTGGGATGCATCACCCTTTTTTTTATTAATCTAAACCAAAAGACTTAAACTCTGGAAGAGTGAATTTTGCTTCTGGTGCATGTCACAGTTCCCGCACGGGGACAATTCCATCTACAGCACAAAGTCATTATAGTCTCAGCTTCAAGGCTGGCATTTTATTTCAAGATGCAAAACCCCATACCTTCTACATCAAAGACCTGTCGTGTTAGGTAGGTGGTAACAAATGCTAGAGAAATAACCCTGAAACCAAGGTAGAGTGAGAAAACAAAACAAAGTGGCAGACACTCTATGAGTGTATGCCTGCTCATCCATCTGCCTCTGCTCCAAGTCCTGCAGGTGAGGACAGAGGTGATTCTCATTCATGCAGAGAACATTTTCATTGTGCTAAGGAGAGTTAGTCTTCTCCAAGTCATGTGTTTGTCTTACACAGGACACCAAATTCTGCTGACTGGTTTCCGCCAGGCTCCTCATCCTCTTTCTTTCATCCCTGTCCCCAGACGGATACAGACCCAACTACCTAAGAGTTCAGTTCATCATCAAAGTACTGTTAAAAGGCTTTTATGTAAAAACAGAACTAACTCTTGTTTCTTACAAAGTCCAGGAAAACAAGGCATTGTTGTATCATAGTAACAGACTCTTCACTGTGCAATATTACTCTCCTTCGAAGAGACTTGTGACAGGTCACAAGAGGGTTATGTACCTGCAGCCTCCGGAAAGGAGGGGACAAAATTAGTACTGAACCTGTTAGAACAATTCCAAGCAAGTGTGAGCAACTGCTAGTATTGTGATGTCCAGCTGAGTAATATCTTATTTCTAATTTTAACATTCAAGAGGAACTTTTTGTTTGGCCTGGCTTGCCCAGAGAGCCATTGGCAGTTGCCTGTGGCTTAAACACGGCTATGTCAGGAATGCAGGTTGGCATCCTGTGTCTCGATGGGTTGTGTTGCTTCTCAGTAAACTCTCACTTCCTGTTTGCCCCACTGTCGGCCTGTACGAAAGCCACCGAGCAGGACACTTGCAGGTCATGTGGCTCAGTTCCCGTTCACTGTAGGCTCTTCAAAACTTCTGGTTGTGTATCTCTGGGTCTCCTACTCAGGTGAAACAGAAGTCACAACCAAGCTCTCAAGTGTTAGCACTTCCATTTTTTCTCCAATACCTTGTGTAATATGGAAAGCTGAGCAAATAGGCTGGAGAAAGTAAGATGTGAACCAAAGTGAACCTTTCACTGTAAGGTCTGGAAAGATTCCATTAACTTCGTATCAGTACTATGTAACTTTAGATTGTCTTTTCATTCTTTTATCTACTGAGAGCAGCACCAAAACACTGCACTCACATTTGTAACTGCACATTACACTCTTTCCTTGGTTAACTAAACATGATAACTCAATATCAGCAGTAGCCCTGAGCTCTTACTTGCCTAAGACCGGGAGGACTGATGAGGAGAGGAGGTTATACCCTCTGTTTCAAACTTCTGAATGAAAAGGAAGCTTTCCAGAGGCAACAACCCCTTATCTGCCCCAATTAAAAAGTTCACAACACTTCTGCGAGAGAACTTAGATAAGCCTCACTTGACCCAACCATTTGATCCATTCAGGTTTAGACAAGATAATTCCAAAGTACATTAGTTAGATGAGACTAAATCAGCCTTAAAATTAGATGCGAAAGACTGACCTCATTTTTCAGTTCCTAGCCCTTCTTCACATTCAAGTTGTTTAGTGTGGTATTTCCTATTACTTTCATGAATTTACTTTAAATAAAATGAAAGCCTGGCTTAGCTGTTACGAGTCTTAGTAAGTTGCACAGTCCTCTCTTGCTAGTCGACCTAAAATTTTCCTTCCTCTTTCCCTTGAGATCCCAACTTGTATTTCATTGTGTGATTCCTCTTCCCACTTAGAGCTTTCATGTATTTAAACTCCTTGTCTCTTCCTTGTGCCATCACTTAGTCAAACTCCCAATACTTGCTTTACTTTTAATTATTTCCCCCCAGTTTTTTGTCTCCCTCACCTGGTTATTTTCATGGCTACTTCATCGCAGCAACTCACTGATATATTCCATCCAATTGGGACACACAACTGAACACAACATCCCAAATCCCATGATGCTAGTAACATCGCAGCAAAAGGCATAAGTATCTATTTAATATCTGATTTGCTGTCTCCCCATAACTCACAGGTCATGCCCAGTAATACTGCTTCCCAAATCCCTCTGTCTGATTAAGTACTTGCAGTTTCCTTTAGACATATTAGCCACATTTTTCTAACCTGAATCATGTTTGTTTTCTTCTTATTATAGCACTAATCTCTTGAGGCTTCTTTTGTGCAAGTGGATGGAAAGAGCTTTTTCCCCTTATTATTGCACAAGAGGGTTTTATGTCTCTGGATGTGTCATAATAAAATGGTTTTGGTAGCAGCAAACCTAATTCCTGTTGTTATTAAACTATAACACACTTCAGGACAACTTAGTCATTGTGGAATAATACTGTCTTATGAGCACCACATATACCTTGCAGGAAGTGCTGAAGTAAGAGGGTATGGGCTAGAGATAGACAAGGAGGAAGGATTTACAGGCTGAGTAAGAAATTAAATTCATCTACTCATACTGAATTAGTTAAAAAGAGAAAGGAAAAAAATAAACCCAACAAACCTCTAGTCACTAACAGCTACATTTTTCTGTTACTCAAGTAATGTTGCAGTGACCCCCTTCATATAGGTGAAGGACAGCAGAAAGCAGGGTAGGAAATTTTGATTTTTAATCATATAAATTTTTTAATGAAAGTAATGTAATCCAAACTTTGCCTCAGCAAGGGCATAATATATGTCCTACAGCAACTATTGTCTATTTAATGACAAATATGTACATATATATGTATACTGCTATACAAATATGTATATATGTATGTATACTGCTAGAATTCTCTAGTGGCTGGTCTACTATACATCTACACCCAGACTTGCCAAACAACCTTCTTTGACCCAGACAGTCAAACTTCAGGTTTGGTTAGACTGTAAACTTGTCAACAAGAAGACCAAATTGACAGCCTGACAGTACAGGAGAGCTCCCTCCAAGGTATTTAGGGGACTGGAAGGTTTTGTGGCTCAAGTTTGTTGGTAATCCAGTATCATGTGACAAAGCTGAAAGATAAGGTATGGCAGAATAAAAATGCATGTGTGAAGAAGCATTTTGATGATGGGTTAGCCCAAGTGCATTACATCTCTTCCATTCAAGAGGCCTGGTCAGATCACACAACACAACTGAAGAAGCTGGCAATGTACTGTTTCATACCACTTGCTGCCTATGAATTTACATTGTCTTGTGACAGCTGGATGTATTTATACACAGAACCTAGTTAAAAGAGTCTTATTTTGGGAAGTACAGGCTGGATCAAAGGGCTGCAGCCAGTGATACGAGGTTCAACAAGGCAAAGTGCTGGGTCCCACACTTGAACCACAACAACCCCACGCAAGACTAAAGGGAGAGTGGCTGGAAAGCTGCTCGATGGAAAAGGTGTTGATTGATGGAGCTGAACATGAGCAGGTTGTGCCCAGGCAGCCAAGAGGGCCAGTAGCATCCTGACCTGTATCAGCACTAGTGTGGCCAGCAGGACCTGGGCAGTGATTATCCCCCTGTACTGGGCACTGGTGAGGACACAGCTCAAATCCTTTTCAGTTCTGGGCCCCTCACTACAAGAGAGACATTGAGATACTGGTTGAGAAGAGGACAACAAAGCTGGTGAAGGGAACACAAGTCTGATGAGGAACAGCTGAGGGACCTGGGGAGGATTAACCTGGAGAAGAGAAGGCTTAGGGGGGACCTGATCGCTTCCTACAACTGCCTGACAGGAGGATGGAGCCAGGAGGGGCTGGGGTCTGCTCCCAAGGAACAGGTGACAGGACAAGAGGAAACGGCCTCAATCTTCACCAGGGGAGGTTTAAATGAAGATGTGAAACAAATCTTTTCCCAAAGGGTGCTCAGGCATTGGAACAGGCTGCCCAGGGCAGTGCTGGAGTCACTGTCCCTGCAAGTGTTCACACACTGTAGACGAGGCCCTCAATGATATGGGTCAGTGGTGGCCTTGGCAGTGCTGGGGAATGGTTGGACTTCATGATCTTGAAGATCTTTTCCAACCTGGTTATTCTATGGTACCTTTCAGAAAAATACCCTTGAAGGTTACTTTAAAGGAGTAATAATAACCTGTGTCATAGGAGATGGCAACGCACTTCAGCTTTGCCCTTCAGCTGAGAGAACTTCGCCCTTTAGAGTCATTCTGCTTCCTTGCACTGCACTTTGGTAATGTTCCACCATTCATACTGCTCTGGGCAAAGAGTAACTTGGGTGATGGAGAGGGGGAGAGCTGGCACAGTGAGTGAAGGGAGCTCAGGGGTGCACTACCTGCTACCACTGTCAGCCTAGCAGAATCTAGGCTACTCCCCACAACGTGAACAGCTGAGAGGTGTGGAGGTGGCAGTGAAGGAAGAGCAGGGGAGAGAAGCAAGTAGAAGTGAGAGTGGGAGGAATTAACTGGTCCTGGAGAAGCAAAGTAGATCAGGAGCAAACACTTCAGTCAACAGAGGGAGGAAATGAAGAAGAGAGAGACAAAGATCCTCACTTAACAGTTTATAGCAACTAGTCCTAGGAGAATTCTGAGTTTGCATCCCTTGGAAACGAAGCCATCAATAATGCAACCCTGGAAAAGGATCCCCACTCCAAGTCTTGAACAGTATGGATCCAGGAAATATTAAATCCATCTGCTGTGGAGAAAATGTTTTATCAACAACAAAAAACCCATTTGATTTATTCTCTAGACACTGGGCCCAGACTCAGTCACTAAGCTGTGCTATCTAATGTGGTTAGACAACTTCTAGGGAACTAACCTCTTGTTGCCATTACTCACAGTATTTGCTTTTCCCCTATTGCCTTACTCATCTGATTCCTCCTTTCTTATTATGACTCTGGTTGAGTTGATAGGTCATAATTTATACTACAGGCTGAGGCTTTCATGCCTTTGTCAGTAACCTGAGCCAGGGAAGTGAGTTATTCCTGCCTTTGCCTTGTTTCTCTGTCTCATTCCTTCTCCATCTGGGAGTTTACCTAGACCTAGAACATACAAAATCTGGCGCACTACCCATCAGGAGAGAGGCTCGTTAGCTTTGACTCCAGTTATAGTTACAGTATATGTCTTTGGATTAGTTTTGTGCTGGATACCAGGTATTTAATAGATGCCTCCATTGATACAGCACCATTAGTCCCAAAGTGCTTCCCAAGCCATAGATTTATCCATTTCAGCTATCCTAACTCACATTATAAAACAGGCATCACTGCGGAAGAGCAGGCACACAGTAAGCACATTTCCTGCAAAGCTGATGTGTAGTGGGCTTTTTCTCAGGCATTGTGGCCAGGTCACCTCCAGCCACTTCAAAAAACATTTCACCTACCTTTGATGCTAGTTCCAGATCAGTTAACTGGCTCCTCCTGTGTGGACAAAAGCCAGAGCATGGTTTACACTCATTTTACATTGTAGCCCACCCACGTTACACAGAGAACACAGACTAAAACTACTCAAGTCCTGAGAGGGAACCTCATTGCTTTCCCTCAGTGATCACGAGTACTCAGCAGTACAGAAGGGTTCTTCCCCACCTTTGGGGGCAAAGGACACACAGACCAGCACTGTTTATTGTGAGCAAAAAGCCCATGAGAGCCCCTTATGTTGTGCAGCATGACACACCCAGGCACATGGACTGGTGCTCCACTCCAGGCTGCAGCTGTGCTGAGTCCCTCCGTGTAAAATGCTCCTCTGTAAAATACCACTAACTTCAGCTAATTCTACTGTGATCAAAAAACATCAAGAATGGGTGGAGACAGGCTCCTGCTTCGCCAGAAATGGCTGCCCTCTTCATATCCTCACATCCATTCCAAAATGTGTGAAGGTGTCCAGACCACTTACTAGTAGACAAAAGGCAAAGGTTTCACCTCTCTCTCCTCCCCTCCCCTCCCATCTCAAAAGAACCTTCAATTTTCATAGAATCCCAGCCTGGTTTGTGTCGAAGGGACCTTGAAGCTCATCCAGTTCCAACCCCTGCCACGAGCAGGAACACCTTCCACTAGAGCAGCTTGCTCCAAGCCCCTGTGTCCAACCTGGCCTTGAACACTGCCAGGGATGGGGCAGCCACAGCTTCTCTGGGCACCCTGTGCCAGCGCCTCAGTGCCCTCACAGGGAAGAGCTTCTGCCTAAGAGCTCAGCTCAGTCTCAAAAGAACTTTCCTCAACAGAGGAAGCAGGCGCTACCTCAGGTGAGCATTTTCTTATGAGAATTTAAGACATTCTCTACATCTTCTGCCACCAAGAATTCAGCACGTTCATTACCTGCGGCAGCATAAGTCAGATCCGGCTGGTTCTTGCCTAGATGACATCGAAAGAAAAATGTATGTGTTCACTTAGGTAAGAGGAATGGATAACCAGGTGGCCATCTGAGACACATTAAATTTCTTCCCAGGCAAGGTTAAAAAGCTGAGCTCACCTGCCAATTTTTCAATAACCAGAGTCTTCAAACACACAAAAAGCCAAAACACTATCCCACGTATGAGAGGGCCGGAATTAGCCCCAGCAATACAAGCAAATACAGAGCTGGCCCATTAAAATACACTTCACCTGCTGCGCAAATGCCCTCATGATGTGTTGAACTGGAGCAGCAGTTCCTGATGTGCTGCTTGACAGCTACCATGGCCTTGCCAAGGGTGGTTCCTGCGCGGTGCTGAGTGAAGTGATTTTTGTATCTGCAGTCAGCTAGACACTGCAGTGGGGAAACCTGGGAGATGAAAGGCACCATATAAATATACAATATTATTACTGCTATTACTATTATTTCACTGGCCTTTTGCCTCGCTTTCTGGTTGAGCAAGAGAATATGAGTATTCCTGAACGTCCCCAACCCTGCTTTTAGTCAAGCCTCATCTTTAGCACTGTAGACCTTCGGATATAATTTTTTCCCATCAGCTCAGTCCACAGAGCCACAGACCATGTTTCTTTACTTGGTATTAACTTCAAAGTCTTTTTGCCTTTAAAATACAACTCAACGTTAGTTGTTAAATGACTGTTTTGAACTTGGATCCAATATTTTTAGTAAAAAAAAAAAAAAAAAAGGTTTGTTTTGTTTTTGAACTGGAAGGAATCCAAACTATCCATGGCTTTTATAACCCAGCTTCCTTATGAGTCAGGACATTTATTGCCAGAAAAATATTATTGTAACTTTATTAGTGCAATATAGCAGTGACATCTAGTGGCTTTCATCAGCGTCATGATGAGCGAGGGAGAGGCACAACTGGCAGCACTTACGGGATCAGGTCCATGTCGGGCTTCTTTTGCCATTGTTGAGAGTTAGTGAAGTTGGATGAGCTCTTCTATGGAGTTTACCAAAATTAGAAAGTTCTAATAGTAATGAAAATAAACACTAAGATAGGCAGAGTTCTAATTGTGTAACAGTCAGGGGTGGTTTCTTCAGCTCACATTTATAACAAGGTAAAATTCCTGGCTTCCTTCATCCCAGCTGAATTTTGTTTGCACTACGGAGCTCCTGCACCACAAACTAAAGAAGCAATGTTCTCAAATCACTAAATCAGTGTTCAGTCTGATTTAGAGCAATTTACCGACTGTATAGCTTAAATGCCATGGGCACAGCCCAGCTCCTTCTGAAAGAAGCAGGAGTTGTGCCATAGTTTTCCATAAAGCCTGATCATGTCTTCAACATTATTTTTGTTCAAAGCTGAAGATCGTTCTCAGGCTTTCAGCCAGGACACATTTGCATGCTTGCAATGTTTCATTTTACACTGGGGAATACCAGAAAAGGCCAAGATTGGCCTTCCAGTAGCAGGATTAAGGTAGTGCATTCACCAAACTGGCAGAGGCAGGCAATGCTCACAGGGCTGCTGAAGTAAAACTGACACCAAAACTTGGTCAGTGTAACACTTCTAGTGCTGGCATGAATGTTCATCACCAGTTTTGTAGCTGAAAATGTTTTTAACTCTAGAATAGCATTAATATTACAACCAGCTTGTGGGTTCTTGTTCTTCCTCTATGCTGCTTCCTCTATTTAGTTGGGCACACAAATTGCCAGATGTTCTTCGAAGACAAAGACAGTTCTGCTTGTCTGACAGTGCTCCCCTGGCCTTGGAGCTTCAGGCTATTAAGCATCACCATGATTTTAAGTTCTACCACAGATCTGATACTTCTTTCTGTCACTTCGGCTCTGAAGTTCTTCCTTACTTGGTCAAACTTTCCACATAGAAGGCCCATTTAACAAAAAAAGGCTGTAACTGAGAAAAAGCTATTAATAATATTGTTTAGTGGTGCACACTCTAGCTGAATACTGAAAAGGAGATGAAATACTGGAAAATCTATAATATGCTTATAAACATATCAGCCTGTATTGGCTGACTGTGCCTTAGATAAAACCACAGGTTTGCTCTATAAGGACAGAGGTCTTACATGGGCTTTGCTGAGGAAGCCTGCGTTGTACAACTGCTGGGTTCTGGCCATGCAGGTGTGTGCTTGGGCATGTGTGTATGTGTGTACATCTTCATGTGTTTTATTATGAAAGGATTTACTTTTCCATGTGCAGCAGTGACAGCACCCCAGAGGAAGTCATAGCTGGGAAGTATCTAATATAATATTTGCACTGCGTCGGCAGTTTGTGTCCATGTGCCAGCTTTGTTGCTCTGCTTTCCCTTCTCAGGATTATTAGGGGGCTTGTAACATTAAATATAATGACTCTCTTTGAAGTTCAGACTTAAACTGAGACAGTTTTTCCATGTTGGCAGTTCAGCTGCAGCCTTCTTCCGTGGATGGCAGGCCAAGGAAACAAGCAGTCAGCTCCACATCTGCCCCAAGCTCTGCAGAGTCAATCTCGGTGAAGCTCCCACCCAGCCATCACTTGGCCCCATATCCATCATGCTCCAGGATGAGGGCAGACCTAGGGGTGTCCTCCAGGGCTCCCCAAGGAAAGCCCTCTTCAGGCAATGCTGCCTCACGGCTATGGCTGAGGTTGTCTCCGGGATCTGGAGAGCTGCTACCCACAGGCGGCATTCCCATCATCCTGGAAAGTGGTGAGTCAGAGCAGCGGCTTGAGGGAGACTTCAAATACTCCAGCAGGTCTGGCAGAAATATTTATCCACCTGCATTTCCAAATATGATCTACTTTCTCACTTTATAAATACATGGGATGCAGCTGAACACTTGGCCTAGCAGAGCCAAGCGTGCCCCTTTTTATTTGATGAACCAGCTGTTTTTCTGGCCTGCTCATATAAACATATTTGTGTGTGTTGATTTTGCAGTTCATTGGGAAAAAGAAACAGGTTGTATTTGCATTTTGTTATGTATACGACTACCACATAGAAAAGTCTCCGCAGCCCATTTACTTGTTTACTTTGCATGAAGGGAAGCAGCACATAAAACACACAGAGAAGGCACGGGAGGTTGACTGCTAATGCTTTTGCAACCAAGCAGCTGCAGAATCAGTCCAAACAGGTGAGATATTGCAATGAGTCTGTTTACAGATCACCATGGGCTGCAATATCAAGTGATTGGAGTCCGCCTGTGAGACAACTGAGGTATCCTGGACAGCAAGCTCCTGCTCACATTCACTGCTTTGGTTTTGGCTTCCACAACTGTGTTTCTGTGTGCAAACTGGCAGTGGCAAGATTCAGACCAAGCTTTCCAAACATTTGATCTAACCCCCTGTGGCACTAAAATGCCCCACCAGCTGGCCAGTTTGTAGGTGCTTTCATTATGTCTTTCTACAGAGCAGATGAGTCAAAACCCTACCTGCTTATCTCCAGCATTTCACGTAGGTGACCACCAGATACAGGCTTGTGCTTCTTCCTGCGTGGAGGCTTGTCAGGAGCTAATGGAATATGACAATCTCAACCAGCTCATAAAATTATAACGGGATGTCAAGGAATTTATTGCCAAGTTTAAAAAAGAAAAACAGTTCAATATCCTATTATGGCCTCTCTCCAGCCCTATAACCTGCTGAGAACTAGGCTTTAAAATGCTGTACTAGCCAATCCCTCTGAACTTTGACTTCTATTTGGAGGCATTGTTTTTTATTCAGCTATAAATAAGCTGAATTATGGGCCTTTCAAGGTGGACGTGCATCTGGAACATTACATGGAAAATCTCAGGTTAATGCTCTGACAGTTTGTCTAGGCAGTAAAAGGTAATTGCATGCAACACGACAAAAGTTGTGCAATCCCCAAAATAAGGAACTTTGCGTAATACAAATCATTAGAATTAGACAAGGGATAGAATATATTCCTTGGAGGTGCCAGATTTCATCGTGCCAATTTTATTCTTTATACTTACCCAGAGAATACATTTATAATTTTATATTTTACTCTATTTCTGGTTGCCTTTGGGGCCAGACTGGAGAAACTAAAGCACTGTAAAATGGTTCAACCTGGTAAACATTCACATTTCACTAGCTGCTTTAAATAGTCACGGTATGTTTCCACAGCTATCTGCCCCTTCCATTCCAGCAGCAATGCCACTGAACTCCCTACTTCAGGCAACAAATGAATATTTAAAAGAACTTACTTGTGTGTATGATTTTCTGATACCATTTCACAGCCAAGCCAAAAGGGAGAAAGCAAGTTAACAAAGAAAGCCCATTTCCCAAAAGAAGGACTTATGTTCTTGGTGACATCAGAGCTGACAATGGCAATGGATATGCAGAAGTCAACATGATAACACACTGGAGCAGTACTAGACAAAAAGATAGCAGTAAACTATGAAGTTCTATTTCATTTTGAAGAAAAAATCGAAGACTTTCTACTTCCTTTGGAATTCCACATTTCCCTGTAAAAGTTTGAAGGCAGCTTTATTTGAAAGCTCCGAAAGAGGCGTGCTGCAGGGACAGGACACTTAGGTGTGTTATCTGCATTCACATGCTCTTTACAAGTGAGTGAGTGCCTTCACTGGTGAGGACAGATGTGCCTGGCCTGCCATAACACCAGCCACTCCTTTCAAGTGCAGTAAGGAAACATGGACCCCTTCATTCCCTTTGTCAGCCAAACAACCCCACTTGGATTGGCACCAAAAACAAGCTAAGAGAACAACCTACTTCATCGACAGCCGAGCCAGGTGGCTGGATACATGGGAGAGAAATCATTTCCAAGTGGCGTGCCAAGCTCATGTTCTCTGCAGTGGGGCCCCGTTTTGTGCTGCGGAAGAGTTAGGACTCCGAATCGCAGTGTCATGGGATGCTTTGGGCAGAGAATCAACTGATGTTGGCTGGAGATGCTGAGAGACAGTGCTGATCTTGCTGTAGCTCTCAAAATAGATCTGCACCTGCTATTAGCGTCAGCTTTGCCATCCAAATCCTGTCCAAGGGTGTAAATAACTTACGAGATTTTGAAAATAGACTCTACTCTTCCTCCCTATCAAGGAAAAAACACAGACAAGTAGTCTAAATCTTCCTGATCATTCGAAAGTCAAGACAGAGCATTACAAATGTTAGAAAGAAGAAAGCGTAAAACCAACCCCTATGCAATAACAGCTGTGCAATGACAGCGTGCAACAAATCAACCTGGATTACAAATGTGGTCAAAGGTCTGGGTATAAATTGAATGTACCAGGGCAATTAAATGAACTTGCATGTGCCAGCTTCTCTGCTCCTTTTCTTACTCTCTCTTCGCCTTGCATATGGGTTCCTGGCTTGCCAAAGCACTGGCTGTCTCTTTCTGTCTTCTCTTTTGTACCTGCTGCCCAGGATCAGAGGTCTTTTTTCTGTGAATGAAAGTATAAGAAGGTAATAGAAGATACCATAAGTGAAAATGTCAAAAACAACTTACCATTTGAAACATTCTGATGTTGGGGTATGATCTGAGTTGCTTGCAATGCAATACCTTGCCTTGCAAAATAGTTTAACAGTGCCTCTACAGTAATCTTCAACCACTGTGGTTTCTAAAATCATGTGGCATTTTTCAGTATCTTTGCCTATGAGTTTAAAAGGAAGATAAACTCCCCCATCTCCTCCAGGAGGCAGGGCATCTTTATCCCTAGGCAAAGCTGGATGGTGTGCATTGGAACAGGTTCAGTTCTTTTTTGAAGGTGCTTACCAGCTATTTACAACCATAGGTTCTGTGATGCTGCTAAGAAGGACTAGGTAATAAACAGTTATACACATAGGTAATACAACCTGATTATACAGGGAATATAAATCCAAAGAGAGCAATAGCAACTTCAGCTGTATATGCCTGCCAATTTTACCCAACTATGGGCTTGAGGCCACTGCACCCATGCTTTAAATCAGTAGTTTTCATATTGTATGCACAAGTAACATTTGTGTTCAAAGTAGTCCCTACCTAGTGCCCAAATCTTCCCCTTTGACAAGCCACTCTGCTCACTCAAACTGAGCCAAGGCAGAGCAGGCACCAGCCTTGTGACTGGGACAAGCAAGAGAGTCCTCATGCTGTCAGCCCATATACCACCACATACACTTCCAAACCAGCGTGATCCTGCTGCCACTGGGGATTTTATTATTGGGAATGAGGCCAGATTTGTGCTGAACCCTCCTCAAAGATGGAGAACTAAAGCCACTGGTTTGGCACAGGTAACCTTGAACTTCTCAGAACAGGCTGAAATGAAACTTGCCTTAGCACCCTGTCCTCACTGACCTTGAACTCTGATGGCCTCCTTGTTCACGTGGATGCTGATGCTCTTCTCCCACCACAGCGCAGCGCTGGCTGGGCAAAAAGGACACGTATCCAGGCCATGAGGTTCCTGCTCAAAAATAATGTTGATTTTCCTTAAGGAAGAATATCATCAGGATGCATGTTATATCACTGCAGTAACTGAGAAGGAGCATGGCCCAGCATAGTTGGGTTTTGTCACATGGGACAAGTTAAAAGCTCAGCAATGGGCTCAGGAGTTGCCAAAATGTCACAGAGGTAGTGGAAGAAGTAAAAGTCTCGCCAGCCCTCACATGAATGTGTGTTGGCTCTAGCAGTCACACTGGAAGTCTTCATGTGGCAACTTGAATTTCCTCATTTCACTCCTCTTGTTTCAGTTATCCGGACATGGAGTGAAAAAGCAAAACAACACACAAGCACCCAACATACATGATTAATCACTCAGTGCAGAACTCATAGTAAATAGCCAAAGGCTGGTCACAGCAAATAACTCACTGACACTCTGCAAGCTGCAATCCATTTGCAAGCAGGGTTCAGCCAGTTCTGACTAAAAGACTCTCAGAAATGGGGATTTGCAGGAAACTCATCAACACAAAAAATATGGAATTTGTTACTGACATCTTTACCAGTTCTATTATTTGCTTAATATGGCAAAACATGGTGGGGATGAAGCAGAAGGTGCAAGCAAACTGCAATATGCTCACCAGAAAACCAGCTGGGTACGAGGGGCTCATGCTCCCTGGAAGGACACTTGGCTTTGTCACCATGCAGGGTTCAGACCTCTCAGCAACCACAGCTGGGGCACGACTTCCGAAAGCTTTGCTGAAGTTCAGCGCTGTACATGGCTCAGGTTTTCTAAAGCATGTGTTACTGGACATACAGAGCCCCTTTGAACCCCCTGCAGCCAACTGGGTCCCTACATGAGGGCTCAACTCTGATGGAACTAACCATTCAAAGCTAATAACCTGGCTTCAGGCTTGCTATTGTCTCACAGTGCTCATCAGATACAGGAGAAAATGAGACCCTGGGGGCAAAAGATCTTATCCAGGATATCAATAGAAACACACTGCTCTGCAAGCTTGCTTTCTAAGTGGGCTTCCCTCTCACTATACCCCAAATGGCACACAGCCTGAAACACAGATGGATCAGCATCAGCATATATACAGCTGTAAATAGATCATATATAATGGTGTTTCATTTTGTATTCCCAGCTTGCCAGCAGATATTAGGCCATGTGTCTGGTCATGAGAGAGAGAACTTAAGCCCTGGAATAATAGCTACGAAGTTTTCCTTTGTATGTGGTTGTGGAATAAGGGCCCCTAAGCAAGATCAAGGTCCTGTTGTGGCCGAGTGAAATGATTCATGTGAAGTCATGAGCAAGCAGATGAGTATCTGAACTGAACCAGAGCCCACAGCTTGGAATGAGGGGAGCTCCAGCCCTCATCCTGCTGGAAACTCAGCCCCAGCTCGAGCTCTTTCCCATGGCTGGAGCCCCACTGCTTTGCCTGCTGTCTGAAATGGTTTCATGGCAGAGTTCATACCAAGGAAATAATCTGACAATGTCAGACTTAGTAAAAGGCTTTAGAAAGCTACCAAAGCACACAGAGAACCCAACCCCACTATTATTGAGACTTGTATGTTCCAGATTAACAGCAACTGGAAAGTAAGCAAAATACAACACAGAAGAGGGAAAATTGTGCGGAAGTTCTGCTCTAAGTCTGCTCTGAGGCATCTTCCCCAAGAAATGAGGCTGCTCTAAGGTGAAATAGCTGAATACAGTATCTGTGTTTGCTTTCCTTCTTGCATCCATGCAAAATAACTGTGCACTCCAAAACAACCACAGGGAATCCAAAGGAACCACAAGGGGAAAAACAAGCAAAACAGCAGCCAGCCCAGGCAGGTCTCTACTGCATTGATGGTATTACTTGTCATTGCAACAACAGGTCACTGCGCAATGTAGGGCATCTAGTTCACACCTTTACATCCTGCGGTTGTGTTAAACAGGGCCCCATCAGATCTAAAATGCAACATTTCTAATGCAAATACCTACAGGCTTAATATTTCCCCCAGGGATTATGCAGAGTAAATAGACCTCAGATAAGTAAATACACAGAAGGGGCAGTACAGAAGTGGCAAATACAGTACAAGCAAAAAAACCAGTTTGTATATGGGGATTCAGCTGCACATGCCCCAGCAAATACACCAAGAGGCGTCGTGTCCATTTTCTTAGCCAGTAACAGGACCAAGAATAGAACAGAATAGAAATAAAGCAGGATGGATGCTTCCTCTGCTCCCTTGGGTCTGGGAGGCCCACATTCTGCTCACTGGAATCTCCCAAAGTAACTTCATGAGGTGCTATGAGGAGGGCACATGAGCCAGCATGTGCTCACATGTGATAGCATTACCATGCTTATCACAGGGTGGAGATGAGTTCTGCTTATACTCACCCCTGCTGCTGCAATGCCTCTCCACAGCAAACCAGGCCCACAAGTGTGGCTTTGAAAGAGAATTCATCCTTCAGCATCTTTATTTGCCTTGATGGTCATGCAGGGCTGAACCTGGTATTTCTTTCGTTGCTGCTCTTGCCCTGAATAGATGATTTTTCTCCCTTTGTTCCAATTTTCTGTCCAACCCCTGTCAAGCAACCAGTGCAGGCATTTATGGCCTTTCCGTTTGCTGAAACATGATCTTCAGCAAAGCAGAGTTCAACCTCTCTTGAGCCTTTCAGGCCAGAACAGCTTTCTCCCGAGGCATCACCGGCCATGGGCACACAGCAGCTTTTAACAGAGCAGTAAGGATGCTGCTAGTGAAAACAGACTATTTTTTCAAGGTAAACAGCACACACACTCCCAGATGGGTGGTTTTGTCCCATTTCCAGAGGGGCTGCTGGTGGGAGCCAGAATCAGAGCTGGAGGAGGCGAGGACCAGTGCATCTCCAGAAAGAGATTCAAACTGCAGCACAGGCTCTCCTTTTACCATGAATAAACACAGATACCTCCATGCTGGATCCAGCCTCACGTGCTGCTTAACCACAGGCTTGCCTAAAACCCAAGAATCTCCCATGGGAACACAACCAATCTGTTTCCAAGTCCTGCTTGTAATTAAACTGGCAAAGCATCTCCACCTTCTAAGGTCCTTTCCCAGCCTCTAGTCCAGTGGCTGGTGAGTGCCTGCAGTGATGACACTAACCTGCTACTGCTGTGCCCTGCTCTGGGAGCTGCTCCCTATTTCCAGAGCTTTTCCAATGCTTGAGAAGATCCACCATGGCTGTTACTGTGGCACACTAAGGAGCACACTGCC